TGTTGTACATATCGCACGCCACCGGGCTCCCACAGACTGGGGTGACTCGACCTGATGTAAGTGACGTAACTGTTGAAATTAACAATCTCGCTCACGGTAAATGGTGACTTGTGAATGATATATTTGAAGGCTTCACAAAAAGGTTCAATCGATGATCACGCTAGGCATTAGAAAGGGGTTAGTTAGATAACATACTTGACACCATCAAGCAATACATGCCAGAACAAACTCGTGCCGGCAATTGTTAACTTACGATGTAAAAATACAATGACACATGTGAATCGATTTGTGCCGATTCCCGTTATGTGTAATCTGCATCAGAACAGACTCCAGTAATAAACGTCTTGGTTCTAATTAACCGAAAAACCAGTTTCTCTGAAATCATTTTAAACTATGAAAAGGCGTGATTCATATCTCAAACAGCGCGCCACAGAGAAGCGTATTCATAGTCCTCGGTGCCCACTGGAACACACTTGAATATATTGATTGAATAACTCTCAACATTAAGAGATGTTTTGCTCATTTGTTTGATTATAACACCAACCCAGACCGAGTAATTTAGTCATGACCTGTTTTGAAAACACCATGCTTTGTAGCTGATTCGCCATGGCAAAGATTGACTGATAATAAAGGACCTTTAAAACACTTGATTCACTTTGACAAACCAACACTCCAGGGATTTTCAATGCTTCAAAAACGAACGAAAGCAGCACCGACCTCACAGGGAAAGACGCAAATCAGTCCCATCTGTTGATGTCGAAGAAAGACGATTTCATCTCATTCAAAATTGTTATGAAATAAATTTGTTTCGCTGATTTGGTCCCCATGGAGTAAATGGATTTGAAGCACAATCGACACGAATAAAATAACTCGAGTAAAGATTAGACAAATCAACAGATTTTAATTCGATACGCCCTATTAGGAAAGAAGAGACACGTCCGAAAGGAAAGTAATTCTATGGCTGACCCGACTCAAAGAATCTCATTCAGTCATCTTGTCTCTAAGGGCGTTGATAGTCGCCCGATTCGGCCCTTTAATCTATAGGCGTTTAGGCTCTTAGTTCTCCTGGGCGTTGTCTTTTAGCGTACTGTCTAACACATTTAGTTGACATTAATCTTCGGGACACGTATGCATAACAATATTCCAAAACTAATATTCTTCTCACATAATGGTTTCTTTGTGTTTTTTCCTGAGTTTTACACGCGGGATACCAACAAATAACTTAATCAGAGGCTTCTGTGCAGAAACACGCGCCATCGGAGGCAGCGCACCTCGCTGTACGGAGTTGTGTCCCTTAAATGAACGCTGCGGGAAGCATAGGGTTATGTCAGGTGCAGTACGAATGAGTCGCATCACTGTTCGTCACGATCTTTGTTCTGCGTCAGGGAGCACAAGACCCATACACTATGACAGTGTTTCTAATCATACACCCGGTCAGTAGAACTAACCCTGCACCTCGACAGTAGTACTAACCACACACACCGACAGTAATACTTATACACCCTCACAGTAGTACTAATCGTACACCCTCACATTAGTACTAATTATAGGGGTTTTATCAACACCATAGAGTTCATTTCTCCAGACATGTGGCACGTACCCTTCTGATGACTGTAAAGTTAAGAGTGCTCAGAGTACCAGGTGCAGGTCTTCCAGCTTGAAGCGGGGCGGTGAGGGTAGCCTAGTGGTTAAGGCGTTCGCTCCTCACGCCGAAGACCCTGGTTCGATTCCCTACATGAACACAATGAGTGAAGCCCATTTTGGTGTCCCCCGCTGTGATGTTGCTGGAATATTGTTAAAAGCGGCGTAATACTAAACTCACTCACTCACCCACTCCAGCCTGAAGCAGTCAGTGACAAAGAAAAGTCCTGTCTCAAACAAGAAAGAAATCACAAAATTCCCGACCTCGGTAGACAATGACGACATCTACCGTAATCGAACTCACTATCACGACATTAGCTGGAAGTATGCTAGAGAATAATTAAAGTTAACACTGCGCCTGTAAGCGAATCTACATAAGGCATCGATCGTTGCTTCTACACGTCAGCGCTTAATTGAACAGATAACAAACGTAGACACTCTCCACCTCGAGAAGATCGCCAAGGAGACCTTTGTCACTTTTATCAGGAGCCGTTTAGTTAAACGATCTCTTACAAAAAGACGTAGAGAGTTCCCATTTATATTTAGTCTCATATTTAATTGATTCCCCAGCCCCTGGAGTGAGAGTAGCCTTGTTCAGGATAATCTGTATATGTTAGGCGGGTCGGGATTAATGTGGTAGTCACGTGTAGGCGAGGTGAGCGGGTCATCTGTCTACCATCATTGCTGCCATGCGCCATGGGAAACTTTGTCAAGCTTAATCCCTTGGCTACCAGAGTCGTAGGTTCTAATCCAGGTCTTGTATTATCATTCGAACAAGTTGGGAACACTATTTGGACAAAGGCTTGGTCAGGCGATCGAAGGTGATATAACTGGGTATACAGAGTAGGTTCGTCTCCAGGGTTCAAAGTCAGTTATGATCTTTGGTTTGCCTTTACCATGAGTGGGATACATGAACTATGCTAACTTGTAGGTGTTTTCATTACTTTCATATCTGAAATACTGTTTAGAGCGGAAATACCGTCTCTCTTGGACAGGAAACTGGAGTTCAACAACTGTGTTCATTTAATTGAAGTTTTCAAGGTGTGCTGAACTACTCGCTCACCAAAGAATCTCACCAAGTCCAAAGTAGACAAGCACCTGCTCGATACACCATATCTCTATGTGTTGGCTGGCCATTACCGACCCGGGATCTGGGCGGCCTCCTACACCATGTCGTCATATAACTGAAATACTATTCAAAGCGGCGTTAAACCAAACTCACTCACTCACTTTAACTATTTCTGCAAACATTCATCCACTGGCAGTGCTTCCGGGTAAGTTGTTTAATTAGGCCATCTCTGTCCTGAGGGATATTTTGTCTGAACGTCTTTTAAACCTTCCTACAACGCCTCGTTGTATCACCACATTCTGTCATCCACGGTGTAAAAGTGATTTTCTTAATTAACCATAATTTGCTTGACTGCTATTGTAGCTGAAATGTTAATGGAATTCATTTCGAGTTCATCCCTCGTCCTTATCAGTCCCCGAGAAACAATTAGAAAGTTTGGCCCGAAATGAGAGAATCGAAGACGGAAACTGATGAATGATGGAGTAGTTCCACTTGTACTAATATCAACAGAGTTTTATTGACAATTAAGACAATATCGTACAGATGGACGCGCTAAGAGAGCTGCGGACCAGAGGCTGCTTTGTTCTCGGGGGAAACATGGAGGTTCCAGGAGCGCCATCAGTAATGAATCTTATCACTTTCTATTTTAATTGGTCTGCTAATAATGAAGCATCCTTTGATCACTGTGTTATCGATGAGGAGCATGGTATCGTGTTTGTTAATTAAATATTTATCATCATAGATATATGTTAAGCAGGAGTGAATCAGAATAATATTATTCATAATGTCAGTAATTGTGGCATTATGTTTATAATGATAAGCAGCATGGCGATACACTATCATTACGCTTACTTATTTTGAGTGTTTAACTTTTGGAAACAAGTTAAAGGAATATAGATTTTCTTGTCCAAAGTATGCATGGTTGGATTCGTTCCATTAGAGTGACACAGCGAGTCAGTCACAGCCGCTAATCAGCACTGTAATATTGATATTGAAGCTCAGTGTCTCTGTTGTTCCATTAAGATGATTATCTGATGCATAAAGTAACCATTAATAACTATACTAGCGATTGGTTGATCCCACGGAGCATAAGGAAAGTAACCAACACTAATTGGCTTCATATAGCTTCCAGACCTCAAGCAAGGCCGTGTTTAAACATTCATGTCTGGCATGAAGAGACTTCTTTCTCACCCACCCTGCGGCGTCCGGCCCTCAATGACCTGCCGCAGACAGAACAGTTTCAGTGTTTTCACCCTTTATTGTAGGGAATAGAATCATCTCAATGATTTGACACATGGTCAAAGGCTGGTTTTAGTAATTCATTACGGCGCAGCCGTGTCAATGTTTCCATGCCGGCTTCTTTATTTGCCTTCAGCGTAGTCCACTGAATACTTGATGGTCAGCAGGTTGTGAGCGGACACACGTGGTCAGTGTATGACACAGGAATGGATGTAGCGGACAGAGTCGGTCCCCAGATCTTGTGTTTGTCAGAGACGTGTCATCTAGGAGTTCACAGGGGTACCTCCCTTGTGTCTCGGGGAACGCAGATCATCTGTCCGATAGAAACAAAACAAAGATTCGCCCCACCAATGATCCGTCACATTGTCGGGTACCAAAGACGGTGTTGTCAACATTTTTACAACTGGTTTCAGAGGGTAGCTTAATCAGTTAGATTTCTGATCTAACATCAGTCTTTTAAACTGTTCTTTGAGAGCAGCATTTGTAATCATTGCCACAGGAATTCATGATATATCCTACTTCTAACATCTTGCTTATAACATGTATGACCACAGGATATCGGGATGCATGCGAACTTGCGTCTTTCGTGAGTGCTCGTGAACACTCGTGTCATTCCGTAACAAGCAGAATCATTTTACGGAAAGGGTCGAGTAGTGACAAATGTTTCCACTGCAGTTTTCTAAGAATATTGTACTTCTACTCATTACATGTTTGGTGTTACTGCCTGTATGCATGACGACGAGCTAACTGATATCATGACAAGTATGCATGAGCTTATTGTTAAGGTGTTCCTAGCGTCCTGAATCAGTCATGTTAGAGAATGACAGTTAATGTAAAAATACTATTTTATCCTCGATCATATCCAAGTGTTGTCTGTAACTATGGAACTGCCTGTGTAAAGCAGTCCAGCAACTAATGGTAAAACTATTCACTTAATGATACGCCTCGCAACTAGTGTGTGCCGTTACCCAGCACTTTGCCTTTATTGACACTACAGCTTCTAAACACTGACATTAGAGATACTCACTAATTGTAACTTTGCTATTTTCAGAATGGCCAGAGTAGCGAGAAGCAGCAATGACTAACCCAGGGCTGAACCGTTCGACCAAGTCACCTACCACTGAAGGCCAAACAAGCACTATCCGAGGACTGTGAAGCCTTATCCAGACAATTGAATCATACCTGTGGTGTGTCTTCCCTTTGTGTAATGTATCCAAAACATGGAATATCCGACACATTGCAGCTGAAAGTAACGTTACTGGTCAAAATACTGAATCTCTTTGATAAATGGCGCATGTGTGGTCAGTGGACTTCGTTACACTGCGGCCATGTTGACGTGAAGATAACTACAAAACATGTCCTCGGACACTACACCGCGGACACGACGTCTTCATCGTGGGTGATATGAACGCTTGTTAAACAGTAGAAGGGCAAGACGGTTCTGATGAAGTATTCAAGGGCAGGCTGCGTCAATGAAGTGGTGTCATCCACGGCGAGTTACGTCGCCACTCGGTATCGTGTCCAAGACGTCATGTCGAAGTACACAGATTGTTTCGTTGAAGTAATGTCATCAGGTCCAAGGGCTAACTAGGTCCTAATTATACTGATGAAATCAAACAAGAGAACATAACAGAGCGATGGAAGAAAAAAATGATTGCTTGTGGTATTCAGTGTTTTCCAGTTAACACGAGGAGACAGTTTCCAGACAAACTGTCACAATACCTGAGTTTAATACTTGGGATTGTATAATAATGCGCTCCTCTGTACCTGTTCTCTTATTTTATTTCATGAGTATACTTGTGTACGTCACTGTGTGTCCTGTCGCTATAGCCTCAACCCTTCACACCTTGAGACAAACATGCTTTTCTTGTCTGTTTGACATGTCACATATCAGTTGCAGATTCTTAGGCAGCAATGCCCGATTAGTTCCAGGGCGCTATTCTAGAATCATTCTACGGACTCTAAGACATTTTCGTCTGGACCGATCCCAGGTTCCTAGACAATAGCGAATTCCCCTGGTCGAATCACTAACTATGTATAAAGTACAATAGCGACCTGGCGAAACTCTAGAGCGATGCATTTGCTTGTTTCGATTGTGTTTACTACTCACTGTTAAGAATATACACAAATTAGAGCCAGGCCCCTGAGGTAGTGGATGAGATCCCTCTGTGGAGACCAATACTGAAGGTCGCTCCTCGGGCAGGTGTACTAGGACCCTGTGTTCGGGGATTGTGTGGAGGTTTGTAGGCGTTGCTTCATGTACAGGTGTACTAGGACCCTGTGTTCGGGGATTGTGTGGAGGTTTGTAGGCGTTGCTTCAGGTGTACAGGACCCTGTGTTCGGGGATTGTGTGGAGGTTTGTACGCGTTGCTTCATGTACAGACATCACCATAAGCCGAACCAGGCAACGTGGAACGATAGACTGACATTAGCTCCAGGCAACCAGCTATGACTGGAGAACGATTTTGGCTTACCCCCTTTGATAGCTCTTTCATCTGAATTCATCTGATTTTGGTTTTGAACAACTATGAAAAGGTTTTAATTTCCATGTAACATAGCAATTTAGAAGACGAGTACACCAGTAATTGTGTCACTGAGTTAGGCTTTGGTATCGTAGTGTTCCCTCTACTTCAGAATACTTACACCACGCCGTGAGTACAAACACAATTCTTCACGCCTGCTCCTGTACATGCCCCTGTCAGTACTGTTTGGCTTGATATTATGTTCAGCTGTCAGTTCAGAGGTATTCAAAGGCACGTTAAGTACTGTTAAGAGAATAAGGATATACTTTTCATTTGAACAATATCAGTCAGTTGGGTGTGTCGCCGCCCTGCACAGCATCACGGCCTTTGAACTTGAAGGAGAAGAAATCCACAACTCACACATGCACCTCTGTTTGATGATACCCGGTATGACAGGTAGGGTGCTGCCAGAACAACAGTCTTATAGGGTCGAACAGGGATTCAAATCCGTGATTATCGGGAGAGACGCAACTCTCCGTAACCCGTCTGATTGTGACAGCACTGCACCAGGTCTGTATAACTGTGTATTATTGTGGAACCATCACTCCTTGGACCGCCCATGTCAGTCTGGCCCTCGTCAGATCAAGTAACTGTGGTGGATGGTGCTGCGCCCACGTCGTCGACTACAGTGATCCAACCGGAAGTTCACTGTGCCCTTTAGAAACAGTGTGATGAATGTGTGCGTCTCTAGATCCACAGCAGTAGGTGTTATTCCTTGTTAAACAGGCAGGATAAATCTTGGGAGGTTAGCATCGGAAGAATGGCAATACCATTCTGTTCGCATCCGCTGAGGAAGTGCCCTTAACGAAACGGTCAATCAGGAACACAAGCAGTGTGTGGAGCTTTTACGTCCTGGCGTCAGCGTTACATTTGTGCATATTATGCAGATACCTTGATAAAGGTGCATGTCGGTGTGTGGAGTTGTTAGGGATTTGTGCACGTATAGCTGAATACACACGCTGTGGACATTAAGGTACCGTTGCGTTCTGGAGACATGACCATGCAAATGGTTAGAACTGGAAAACGGATTTGGAAATGTGTTCCTTCTGGGGTTTCATTCCACCTTTGAACAGATGTCAACATTTCATATAAAACTACATTACCAAAACTATTGCATATGAAAAACGTTTTGGCATTTATACAGACAAAACTTTATGGCATTTGCAAATATTACACAACTGGCACTTTCGTATAATGTGTCGAAACAGTAAAAACAAAATAATGAATATAACGCGTCTCTAAATTTTCTTCCCCAACACGTGTTTTCAAGAGCAAATGCGCGATAGAGGTATATGAAGAAATATTCAAGTAACGTCAACGCCAGAGAATAATGTGTCGAAACAGTAAAAACAAAATAATGAATATAACGCGTCTCTAAAACGCACCCTTTTCTTCCCCAACACGTGTTTTCAAGAGCAAATGAAACAGTTATATTCAGCATGCATGAAATTAGACGAAGTAGCAGCGGGAGGCCCTTGATCTTACAACAGGTTTAGACACGTAACACTGATGGTTGTTACAACTCTTGAGATATTCACGTTGTTTTCCTTGCTTGTCTTTAAAGAGCTGATGGCAAAACTGCAACAAATCAAGTCCTCTTGTTGGCTTAGCGTTTACGGTTTCAAGTGTCGTAAACATGCAAAACGAAATTCCCCAAATTTCAAACTTTGCTATTAGCACTGTAGTCAGATGATCGTGCTTGTCTTTGATGTGGAGTTTTTTTGTAGTAGACGCAGGTAAAGCAGGAATCTGATTCTTATCTGTAGTAGGCACTGACAGGTTCGACATGCTTGTATTACGTAAACAAAATTCAATTAGAGGCAGTCATTTGGAAAGTACTATTTTCACTCTTTATCTTTGACGTTCATGAAAGTAAGCGGTTTTTTGGGCGATTATGACTAATTTTCCATGCAGTTATGATGTTTAAATCACAAAACCGTCTTTATGGCTTCGCCACATTTACAGGAATATTGTCTCTCTTTTGAATACAAACGGTTTAACGTTGGCTTCTGATTTTAATAGTGCAAAACAACATGCGGTTTATGATTAAACAAAGTCCTGTAGTTCCTAACTGTCTGTATAATCGGGAGCTTGGTGAACAGTAAATACCACCAAGGTGCAGTCAGTCGTTACGGCGAGTATAAGCACAGGGGATGGCGTCACACCTGGACTCGAGCTATAGGTTCAACCGCCCCATTACCTTCGGCGTGCCCTCATGGCCTTTGTTTGAACAAAGATATTTTAATCTCAAAAGAAAATAATAATTTCTTCGATGTCTGATGATCATCAAGTTTGTCAAACATGCTGCACCTGTATTAGAGCACACACCACAAGAAACCACGTGGTACACTACCCGCCCTTATGCTATATTCAAGAAAAATAAACACAGACATGTTTCCAAAACTGATATCATTTTTTCAACAATACCAGTAATCTCATAGTATATCTTGCTTTCTTTGTGCGCATGCGTGAAATGAAAGGTCTGCGTTAGTACTTGTCCGTTGTTCATTACGGTGGTTTATCTCCAGTCTCACACATCCCGCCAGTAAACCATGTGTATGATGACAGGTTATCCTTTGTTATGAAGGAAACAGAACCAGACGTGCGTGTGATGTGTGTGGAGGTGGCGGCCATCACAGCAAGACTTACAAAAAATATCACCGTCATTCGTTTGTGTTTACCGTAATGAAATTGGAGACAAGATCTTTATTTTCACTACAAACATGGAAAAACCCCACATGTTGTATTTCGTTGCCTAGCAACAGGAATCTGTGTTGTGCAATGCGTATTCACAATTACCTGGAAGAATGTTTGCGCAAAGTCTTGGCATATTTCCATGCGCGCGTTGACTACAAGGGTAAATCTGGAGGCGAAAAAACACGTGGGTTCCATGTCATAAATCTTCAGCGAATAATGCAATATTTGTGTCGTGATGTACTTGGCCCAGAGTCAGGGCTTGTAAGACAAGTTGTATGAACAATGTTCCCGCGTAAAAGCACATGCAGGCCTTCGATGATAGCTCCTCACACCGGGTGGTGGTGTGGTGAGTAAGGAAGGGAATGGCGTTTGACGTATCACTATCTGTTTCTGAAAGTGTTCCTACCAGCTCACGTGTTCCGGTTAACGGTTTTACTTTATCTGTCTTGTTTATGATGCAAGGTGAACCTTTTTCTTAAAACTACGGTGTTAGAGGTTACGGTCCTTGAATGTCAAGTACTTACACCATGTTACCTGTGACAGTGCCAGTTTTCACGTGAGAAATGGTTATGGACTCGACAGTTTAGGTGATATTGGAATATATCGTTCGTTGAAGACACCCATGTGATATTTCATGTAAACGTATGACAATAAGACTTCATTTCTACGTCAACTCTGACGTCACAGTCCTTATCGTTCACTTGACTTGTTTCCATATATGGAAATATGAAACATCAGTGTTATTTAAGTTGGTTATCTCACTTTGTCACATCACCTACACAAGTGTAGCTGCAGAGTTCATAGTTTACCAGATGTCACAGACAGGTCTGTTTGTTCTTCCAAAACGCCATGTGTCATTACTCTCAGTTTTCTGATTACGTGGCAGATAGGGAGGGAGACTGTATTTTTTAACATGGCTACATTATTTGATGTGGAAAGCTCATTTGTATTACTTTTTACAGTTATTAACATCGAATCTTGTAGTGGCGTCACATGGTTCAGTTGCCGTAGAAGTATTTGTGGTAAGCCTTCACAGTTTCCTTCCGGCCGAGACCGAGAGTGTATATACCCTGTTCCAGGGGATGGGGAGTAGTGGTGGAGAGATTCCGAAGAACAAACAGTTAATTTGTTGAGGCCTTGGAGCATCTAACTGATTCCAGCATCTATTCCAATGAGAGCCGACACAGGCAACTCCACGTGCACACAGCCCAAGGTCATGGTTGCAGTGTTCATTTTCGACGTTGTCGAATGTGCGTAATTCTTGACCTTTTATTAAATCATTTCATGATATAGGTCAATCTTTTTATCAAAGTTTATTTTGGAGGCACAATGCTTTATACGTTTGAATAAACAATGTACATATTTGTATTTTTGCGCGATTGGAAATAATATGTATAAACGACATGAATATTTTGCATAGCCGT